TCGAGAGACATTGACCATATTAAAGCGCCAGGGACTGAGGCTCTGAGACAGCAAAAGAACATGGAAATTAGCAAACAACATTGCAGGGCGAGAACAGAAATCGAAAATAGCAAAATTAATATTCTGAAGCTGGGCGACCGAGAGAGAGAACGGGTTGTTGATCTTGTTCCGAGGTGTCACCGGGAAGACGTGATGATCGATCGTGCGGTGGTTGCTCATGCAAATGTTGCAGGAGTGACATGACAGGTTGAGAAGACCGGCACCCGGGTGCCTGGGAGCCAGATCAGCGGAGGAATAGCGTTGAAACCAGCGTCTCCAGCCATAGCCACCGGGATACCGTTCATCTGATTCAGGTACATCTCTTCGTAGGGATCATAGACCGAGTGGAAGTGCTGGAGATCCGCGAGCCACTTCTGGCCTGCCTTGTTAGACCTGGTCATAAGCACAGAGTATATCTTCTCCAGGGAGTAAACAATGGGAACATTACGAACGACAAGGTGAGTCTCACCGCAGGCCTGAGCCTTGGTGAAACCCGGTGCCGGGTCAACGAACTTTTTGATTTCCACCGTTTGACCATTTGGGGGGGTGAAGAGGATCAGAAGGCAGGAACGAAACGAGGCTGCATCAGCCACAGAAGGCCACTGAAGCACCTGACACGAGTACGAACTGCGGCCAACCTTGTAATTGTCACCCCCCATCGACTTGAACGGCGGGATGCGATTATTGGGGAAGTCCGTACAACGAAGGGATTTCCTAATGCAGGTGAGGATGTCCTTACGGAGATCGGAGAGGTTTTCAGGAAAGATGACCGTGGAAAGAGTCTCCATGTCCCGATCCATATCGTCAATGGTCTCGCCCACCATATCATGCTGGGCAACCAAGCGGCGGTAACAGCGGGCGGTGTTGTTCTGCGACGGAGCCGAGGAAACTTCTCCATTGACAGCAGGAGGCGGAGAGGGGGAGGAACGGGGAGGTGTAGGAGGCTTGGAAGATGAAGAGGTAGCTGGGACACACGGCCGTTTGGTCAGGGGGGCGTCAGCCAAGAAGTCACTGATCGAGGGGTTCAGGCCCTCGTTGTTCGCCATCACTGCGTTGAACGCAGAAGAGTGTTCCATGGTGAGCTCTGGGGGGGAACTAACCACAGATGCGGATAAAGAATTTGAGCAGGCTGCTAATCTTAAGTATACGAGCCACAGGGAGGGGAGCACATGCAGCGAGGGAAGTCGAGAGGAGCACAAATTGTGCGACTCTTGTAAGAGAAAGGATTCACGAATCGCGAGAATTTTTTTACGAGCGCCATGGCGCACCGTAAGACGATGAACCACGTCACGGGAGAGAGTGTGAGGGGCATCAAGTGCATGAGCACAGAAAGTGTCAGCTGGCGTGAGAGTGAACCAGGCTGACAAGGAAGCCAGGCATACTGGCCCATGAACATGGATTGAGAGTCATCTTGCTGAGCGTGAGCTTTTCGTGCAGCAAGGCTCAGTTTACTTGACGGAGCGGGAAGCCTGCATGCATTCTCCCTCCAACACACGTCAGAGACAGAGCAAGCGCCAGGGTCTTGAAACGTCAGCTTTGGTAGGAAGGCCGCACATGCTCGTTGCGGAGGGTCTGGTAATCCCGTAAACGGTGAGCTTGCGTGTGACGAACCAGCACGGCATCGAAAGATAAAAACCAGCGAATGAGAGTAGATGTGGTTGTCACGTTTCCAAAAACGCTGCACGGCGAGAGAAGGATAGAGCTTACCCGTCAACCGGAGGCCCTGGATATATGATTGGCCGAGTTGGGGGATATTGCCGGAGGTGCGATTGTCACTGGAAAACCTGGAAGCTCGCACTGCTGGCGTCCACCTGTCTTTCCTGCAAGGCAAACACGTAAAAAGGTCAGCAAAAGAGGGAGCGAACCTACCGCTAGCCAACCGAGGACGAGAAACAGAAGCCTGAAGTTCCTGTAGGTTCAGCATGGCAAACGTGAACGTAGGCGTTTTGCTGGACCGGTTGGGTTGCCTTGAGTACGCGGAGAGCTGAGGAGGTTCATTTTTTTGTCTGGCCTGGTTGGTGAGAGCCGAGGGAACAAAAGGTGCGCCACAGAATGACAATGACAATGACTCTCCGCCTGCGACCGCCATGGCTGACACCTGGATTTTCGGAGCTTCCATTGTCGGTGCTCCAGTCTGTTATTCAAGTCAATGACCCGATATTGAGCTTTGCCTTTACATAAGGAACACATCGATATACTTTTGGTGTCCATACGGAGGACATTGTTTGAGAGTTCCCAAGGCTTTTCGTCACGACAACTAACACCAATGTTGACATCCTAGGTCTTACGCTGGTCGCTGAGTCAGCGCACTGTCATCAAGGTTTTAATTACGACATCATCTATTACAAGACTTTTTCAGAACCTACGACAATATCAGGAAATGGCATTCAGGCTTCACAGCCTCGCTCAGGAGACGTTTTTAAGACGCTCAGAAGTGTGGATTTTTCAGCACTTTGCTGGATGTGATGGTTTTTTCATCATCACGCCATGCCTCCAAGAGTGAGGCTTTTTAAGCCTGCTAGCAAGATGGACCCTGCTGATGTTGTTGTTGTTGTTGCTGCTGCTGCTGCTGCTGCTGGAGACCCCCATTGCGGGTCCCTCTACGCGTCAACCCTCGGCTTCAGCCCTTTGAAGCCGTCGCGTAGGTTGTTCGCGGAAGAAGACTCGGAGTCGTTGACTCTGTCGGCCAAGCTGGCGGCTTTTCGGATTGAGCAAGCTGCTGTCAAGAAGGCGGACAAGGGCAAAGGGAAGGATGCGGATTTCAAGGATGCAGTCTCTGATACGGAAGAGGAATCTGCTGCGGATGAGGATGACGAGGACTTACCTAATGCTGCTCGCTGTGTCAGCTTCCTTGACGATGAGGATGACGGACTCATGGCTCACGATGCGAAGGAGTGCTTTGAGGACAAAGCGAAGAAGGATCTGGCGGCGAAGTTACGGTTCCCGCTTAGCCTGCTGATTCCGGTAGAGCATCTTCAGGAGGTCCGCCGTACGCAGGCGACGGTTAAGGAGCTGCTGGGGATCTGGGAGAACGAACTTATGGAGAACGCGAGCAAAACGACATTCCAGGAACTGGATCCAGGTTACACTGCGAAGAAGCTCTACGGTCGCATGCAAGTAATTTTTGTTGCTGCTTCTGATGCTAACTTTGTCTGGCGCAATCATATTGAGCATCAGTGCGTGAATGGGAAGTACATTTTCCTGGACTGGCTTTACTTGGAGGATCCAGGCTACACGAGGAGGAAGATCACTGACCCGAAGGTTATTGAAGTGTTGTTTTTTGTCGTCACTGCAGAGATTTCTCCGGAAGTGCTTCATGAGGCACTAGCCGTCTTTCCGCTGAAGATCTGCAAGCGTCCGGCTTTCAAGGAAGGCTTTCATTTCCACCGTGTGGTGCATCCTGTCTCTGGGCTTGACACTGACCTGGTGAAGAGGTTGGTCGTGGCCCATGAGAACGACAAATTTCGGTGGCTTCATCAGTTTGAGAACTCGGTCTCGCCTGGCGTGAAGGTTATGGTGCACTACCTAGCGTTGAAATGCTCGCTCTACGGGGGGATGCACTCTGTTCACAATCACAATGACTTCGTTACAGAGCAACAGAACAACATAGTGGGGAGGATCCATGAGCTCAACAGTAGAGATGGCGTTTTCTGCTTACCTTTTCGTGTCGTCCACGCTGTCGCTGTTTTTCCCCGTTTGGCATTATCTGATATTCAGCTGCTTACCTCCCACCCGTGCAGCAGCTACGATGGTAGCCACGGCGACAACCAGGATTATCCTCAAGGATCCCGCTCTGGTGCTGGTTTCAACGGCTGGAAACAGGGAGGAATGGGTTTGCCTGTTGGAATACTGCGAGAAGGGGAAAGAATCTTCTTTCGAGCAGGCTACGCATCATGTGCTGTCCCAGCGTCACCGGGGGGGGCTGACTAAGCAGGGGGTTGCGACGCGGGCTCTCAAGGACAAGCTAAACCTTTGTGTGCTGCGCAAGGAGTACGGGATTTAAGGACTGTCATCGTAAGGAGGGGAGAGACGAAGGCAGATGTGTTAGGAAGTGTTACATGGATGTATGCAATGCTTTATAGCGGTAACCTGCTCTTTTTCAGACACCTCACTTCAGCCCGTGGATGCTTTGGGGCTCCCACCGAGTGGATTAATGGATAAACCCTGCAAGCTGTCGGTATGCGAGCTCAACGTCAATGGGCTCGTGAGCAAAGGAAAGCAACGGAACCTGAAAAGGTGGTTAAAGAAGGAAGCTGACATTTTTGTTCTTACTGATACAAGAGTAGCCTCGGACCATGAGTGTTGGAAGCTTCTGAACTTTCGCCATTGCTTTGCGGTAGCCAACGTGGAGAGAGCTGGAGGGGTGGCAATCGTCAGCAACAACAAGCAGTTAGTCTTCGAGAACGTGATCTACCATGCTTCAAGGAGGCTTGTGCAAGCGGATGTGAGATGGGACACTTTTGACTTCACGATTCTTGCGGCGTGTTTTCCGGCAAGCGCATGCAACAGGGTTACCTTTTCAGGGACGTGTTGGGCCCCTTCCTTACGGGTCTGAATGGTCGGAGTAAGCTGCTGCTGGCGGGCGACCTCAATATTGTGGAAGACCCAATCCTGAACAAGTCCCCGAGAGGTGGATCGTCGGGGGAAAATGACAGGTTGCTGCAACTGTTCAGCGGTCTTCACATGGCGGATACGTTCCGGACGCAGAATCCGGGCGGTCGCGAGTTTACCTTTTTCGCGAAGGCAACAAGGTCTAGCTCGTGGATAGATCGGATACTGGTGTCGGCTGAACTGCTGCCCTTGGTGGCTGAGGCGTGTCACACCCGCTCGTTGGGTGGCATCTCGGACCACAAGTGCGGTGTTAAGGTGGTGCTGCAAGCGAACCTGAGGTTGCACATGGGCCCGGGCATCCATCAGCTGACACGGCAAAACCGGGGGTGGAGAAAGTAAGCAGAGCGGTCATGGAGAGGCTACAATTGGGGAACCCGGGGAATTTTGGCTCCCTTCTTACCAAGCTTAAAGCCGCACTCAGGAGGTATGCGACAGAAGAGTGGAAGCGGGTGCAAGCAATGCTACGCTACCTGGAGCTAGCAGTCTCCGGTTTGCAGCAGGAGCTGATGAGGAACCGTCACCGGGACGACCTCCGGACGGTCCTGGCGGAGAAGGAATCGCAGTTGGCCGTGTATCTAAATGACAGGCTGCATCTGTTGGCAGGGGTGAAGGAAGAGACGAAGGGTGAAATTGCATCGAAGGTTCTCTCGGTGAAGGTGAAGTCGAAGAAGTCACGGACAATGATCACTGCTCTGTGTTCACAAAGGGTGGAACAGAGGGGAACAAAGGGTATCATGGCGGCTGCCTCCCAGTTTTATTCTGCACTATTCGCGGAGAGCCCCCCCGTCAGGTCTGCCTTGTTGGAAGCCGGATCTGCTGAAAACGCTTCAAGATGAAGAGAAAGTCGGCCTAGAGGCAGATTGGTCGGAGGAGGGAGTAAAGGAAGCACTGAAAAACATGGCATGCGACAAATCCCCGGGCAGCGACGGGCTGCCGAAGGAGCATTTCGAGCGCCACTGGGACCTGCTGAGGGGGGATTTCATGGGTTTCATCAAGCAATTTGAATCATCGGCAGTCCTACCGGAGGAAGTGCAGGAGGCGGTGACGATCCTGTTGCATAAGAAGGGTCCAAGGGAGCAAGTGCAGAACTATCGCCTGATTACCCTGTTGACGAGCTCTTACAAGGTGCTGGGTGCGGTTATCTCAGACGAGCAGCACGGTTTCATCCCGGGCAGGCGGTTGTCTGATGCAGTTTCGCCGATCGCGGACGTGATTGAGGCGGCGAATAACGATAGGGAGGACTGGTATCTTCTGATGATTGATTTCCAGAAGGCCTTCGACTCTGTGTCGCGGTCGTTTCTCTTCGAAACGATGGCGCTGATGGGTTTTCTGGCTAAGTTCATCCGTTGATGCGAAGGACTGCATGGGGGTTCCTTCACTCGGCTCCTAGTTAACGGCTGGTTGGGAGATCGAGTTGATGTGCGCAAGGGAGTCCGGCAAGGGTGCCCGCTGGCGCCCTACCTCTTCCTGTGCGTGGTGGAGCCACTCTGCTAGGAGGCAATAAAGAGGAAATTAGTCATCTGCGATGATTACGGAGACAGACTGGCTTACCTTGGTTACGCTGATGACATAGCGCTCGTGCTGAAGGGGAAATGGCAAATCGGCCGTACGGAGACACTTCTGGAAGAGTTCAGGGCCCGCTCTGGCCTTAGCGTTAACAAGGAGAAGTCGGCTCTTCTCTCGATGGGGAACAACCTGCAGGAAAGAAGAGGCGAGGGGTCAGGCTTTGTGCAGATTGAATCAGGAAAGGCGGAGAGGCTCTTGGGAGTCTGGGTCTCCCCGTCAGGAAGTGCAGAGGTTACCTGGGATAAGACGCTGGCCAGAGCGGCGGAGGAGCTCGTGAAATGGCAGTCAAAGTACTTAACCACAACAGCAAGGGTGGCGGTTGTCAATGCTTACATTTGCCCGATCTTGGCATTCCAAGGGCAAGTTTACCCTTCGTCCGAGAAGGTGTGGAAGTGGATCATGAAGCTGCTCGTGAATTTCATCTCTAGCAACAAGGCGTCAGAAGGAAGCCACTTCACGCTTTGGAGCAGAAAGCTGATTTTTAGACCACAGAAGGATGGCGGGCTGGGGATTTGGGACCCCTTCATTGAACTCAGCGGCCTGGCTGCTAGGAGGGTGGGGAAGCTGTTGTTGAACAGGAGTGGTGTCCGCAGGTGGTTGGCGACGAAGGCGGCTGACCTCCCTGCTGGCTTCCGCTCCTTCTGGGCGCACCCGGATTTCCTGAAAGAGTGGAAAGGTCGAAGTGTCAGATGGAAGCAGACCTGCGAATTGTTCATGAAGTCAAGCATAGCAAAGAGGGGCCCAGTTTCGCGCTGGGACGTTACGCAGGAGACGCTGGTGTTTAAATAGGCAGGTCTTGCCCAACGGAAAGAAGCTGCAAGGATGTCAGGCAACGGCGAAAGGGTTGGAGCTGATGAAGCTTGGTGACTTTGTTGGACGTACGGAAGACGGGAAAAGAATGAGAAGGCGCTGGAAAAGGAGTTGGGTACGCTCAAGAAGGCGCGAAAGGTGCTGAAGTTCTTTGGCAGTGTCCCGGCCTCGTGGAAGGAGAAACTAATAGCGCCAGTCACGGGGACGGAACTTTTAGCAGAATCAGCATACGTGAAGAAGACAGGAGAGGTGGGAGTCTGGAAGGTGGAGTCGGTGGGGCAGGTTGGGCTTGCCTGCCGAGCTTGCGACTATTTCAGAGAGCCCCGGGTGGGGTCTGCGGAAGTAACTGCAGTTCTTGATCTGGACAAGGCGGAGCCGTTGATATTGAGGTGCGGAAGGGTGATTGGAGCATGCGGTCTGCCTGAGGTACGGCTGCGCTGCTCAGAGCTTTGCGCGGAGGATCAAATTCCCCCTTTTAAGTAGCTGAGGTTGTTGTTTGGCGCGCAGCAGGGGGTGATGCTGCAGTAAGAAAAATGGTCAGAGGAGTGGGGGAAAGTGATTGACTGGAAAAGAGTCATCAGGGTGCGGGACTCTGCGGTGTTTCGGAATTGGGCCCGGGACGTCTTGCTTCGCCTGCATTGTCACAACCTTCAGGTCGGGGTTAGGCTGAACTTCCTTGGTTGCATGCCCGCATTGTGGTGGGGAAGAGACAGCGGAGCACTGCTTGTTTGGCTGTCCCCGCATTCAGCCTGTGGTACGGGGGCTGCTGAAGGCCCTCCACATCATCAATCCGGGCAGAAAGATTACTTCGCTAGGGGATTTGCTATACCAGTAGGAAGGCTCAGGTTCGGGGTTTCCTGAGACAACGATCACTGTTATTGCCTTGCACAAGATATGGGTGGAGAGGTGTGATGCTGCCTTTGAAAGAGGGCAATTTCGGTCCAGGAGGGTGCTGCGTAGGATTGTGGCGGCCTTCTACACTCATACGAGGGTTTGCCTGTGGGCAAAGAAGCAAACGGGCGGGAATCATGCTGGGGCCGGGGCAACGTTCCATCCTAGAGCGGTTGGATCCGGACGAATTTTGTCTCATGAGTAAGGTATGTGACAGCTCGGCTAAATCGCTCGCGTGGACTTGTGGTTTCACCTCTATCTGGGCCAATCCGTGCACGATCTTCCGCCCCCCATAAGTTGTCAGGATGGGTACAATGGCAGGTCGCTGTCTAGGCCCATCAGTTACAGTTACGACTATTAATGCTTGTATGCGCTATTATAGTGTAACTTGCATTGCAAAAAAAAAAAAAAACAAAAAAAAAGATGATATGCGTTTCAGGCTTCTGTACATGATATATCATGTTGGTTGGATTTCCCATAACAAATAAATGACATGTTATTTCCATTTCAAATTATAAAAAGGCTTGTGTCATGCCATTGCATGTGTCAACCGATTGGGTAAGATGCTGATATGTTGGTGCAAGAGCGCAGATGCACGAAGAGCAGTAATGGTTGTTACTCAATCATTTCCAGCAGCTGTGGCTGTAGCAGCGAGATGAGAAGCAGAAGCTGCAGTGAGAGAATGAGCAGATGGATTAGCTAGCGGGTCAGAAAGAGGACCAGAAGGGAAGTGTGCTTGCAGCTAATGGTGTAAAAAGACTGGCATAAGACGTAAACGAATCGGGGATTAGAGGATCAGAAACATTCCTGTGAATTAATGGATCTGCAATATTCGCATCCATTCCTAGCTCATTTTCACCCGTCTACCTACCATTCACCCATTTCCATACCATTCACCCATATCCCCTACCAATCACCCATTCCCCTGCCATTCACCCATTCCCCTGCCATCAACCCATCTCTTGGCCATTCACCCACCTCCCTCTCATTCACCCATCTCCCTCCCATTCACCCATCTCCCTGCCATTCACCCATCTCCCTACCATTCACTCATTTCACTGCCATTAACCCATCTCCCTACCATTCACCTACTTTCTTGCCATTCACCCATTTCAGCCATTCACTCATTTCCATGCCGTTGACCCATTTCCATGCCACTCACCCATCTCCCTGCCATTTACTCATTTCCCTACCTTTCAACTATTTCTCTGCCAGTCACCTATTTCCCTGCCATCAACCCATCTTCCTGCCATTTACCCATCTCCCTCCCATTCAACCATCTCCATGCCATTCACACATTTCCTTGCCATTCGACAATTTTCCTGATCACCCATTCCCTCACATTGGCCCATTTTCCTGCCATTCACCATTTTCCTTGCCTTTTTCCTATCTTTCTGCTATTAACTCATCTCCCCACCATTCACCCATTTCCCTGCCATTCACTCATTTCTCTGCCATTCACTCATTCCCCTGCCATAAACCCATCTCTCTTCCATTCACCCATCTCCCTTTCATACACCCATCTCCCTGTCATTCAATCATTTCTTTCATCCGTTTCCTTGCCAGTCACCCATCTCCCTGCCATTCACATATTTCCCTACCATTCACCCATTTCCCTACCATTCACCCATTCTCCTGCTATCAACCCATCCCCCTCACAATCACCCATCTCCCTCCCATTCACCCATCTCCCTGCCAGTCACCCATTTTTCTCCCATTGATCCATCTCCCTACCATTCACCCATTTCCTTGCAATTCACCCATTTCCCTGCCATCAACCCATCTCCCTGTCATTTTCCCCTCTCCCTGCCTTTCATTCATCTCCCTGCCATTCAGACATTTCCCAACCATTCACCCAATTCTCAGCCATTCTCCCATTTCCCTGCCGTGCACCCATCTCCCTGCCTTTCATTCGGTTCCCTCTTTTTCATTCATCTCCCTTCTATTCACCCAACTCCCTGCCATTCACCCAACCTCCTGCCATTCACTCCTTACCCTGAGCAAGTTAGCAGAGAGGAGGGAAGGTAGCGGAGAGGGAGAGAAGGCTGGCAAAGAGGGGGAAAAGGACAGGGATAGGAAGATAAGGTTTTTTGAAAAGTGGGGTGCCGTCAGATCCATTCTGATTGGATCCAACACGTGATTGTTATTGTTTGCTAGGGGTGAGAGGGTGTGACTGCGGAGATAACTGAAGTAACGGGAGCTAGTCTACGGGCTAGGCACGAGTGCTCGTGTGATCTCTGCGTTCGTTGTTCCTTAGTCGTTTTCCTAGTGTACACACTGCTTGCTAGTTCACGGGGCAATTTGGCAAGAGTTTCACTAGAGAAAGTTGACAACAATGGTTGCAACAGCATTGGCAACACAAACTACATCAGAGCTAGCTAGGCTGCTGGTCGACCTCCAGCGCAGCACGGTCGACCGCGCTCCAGCGCAGCAGCGCTCGCACCGCTCCAGCGCTGCAGAGCAGCGGTGTGCCAACGTTGCAAGTCCATGGTGTGCCAACGCTGCAGCAAGTCGGCTGCACAGCGTTGCACCCGCAGGACAACGGTGCACCAGCTTCGCAGGTGCGTGCAGCTGGTTGGCGCTTCACACCTTGTCACGAGCACAGCGCAGACGCCTGGCAGACTCCACGCCAGCGACTGCGCCCACCAGCCACGTCGACCTCGGGATACCACCCCCAAGGTCGGCATCGCAAACTCCACCCCGGCGACACTCGCGCACGTCGCCCGGGTATCCCGGTCAACCGGGCAACCACGCCTGGTCGACCAGCGCAGTCCGTAGCTGGCCACCCATGCCCGGCGTCCCCAGTCCGGCGTCCAGGCGCCCAGGACGCCGTCCGAACCCCCAGGTCGGCGTCTAGACGCCCAGGACGCCGTGCAGACCTTTAGAGCAGCGTCCAGCCTCCCTGTACGCCGACCAGACGCCCAGGTCGGCGTCCGTGCCCCCAGGACGCCCAGGTCGGCGTCCGGGACCCCAGAACGCCGTGCAGATGCCCAGGGCGGCGTCCCAGGTCCCTAGGACGCCGTGCAGACGCCCAGGTCGGCGTCTGGCCTCCCAGGACGCCGTCCAGGCGTCCAGGACGCCAA